ACGCACAAAACAAATTACCACTATGGGTACGGCCTCGACAAAGTGCTGTTGATTGGAAATGTGAGAAGGAGCTATACCAATTTTTCATCAACTGGCAGCAGTGATCAATGCGGTTTAACCGACTATTGCATTCTTATCGGCTTTCATGAGAAACCGTGTGTCATTAAAGAGTACGTAAATCTGTGAAGCACAGGTATTGTATGCAATTCCGCCTCTAGCTCTGACGACCATAAATGCACTTGTTTTAATAATTTCGATGCTTGCTGTGTAAGGATCTTTCTAATATTCTAGCTGAAAGGACCTAATATGTGGATAAAACCTTAGAAGAACTACATATACCATTTCCGCCCTGGGCAAGCTCTCTTGTTCAAAAAATATTGTTAACTTTTCTTTCTCGGAGTGAATACCATTTTAGGGAGAACATTTCGCTCCACAGTTTCATGTCAATATTTTTTCGTGTAAAATCACTTTCAATTTAGTTTACCAGAATAGAATGGAAGAAAGACTAATTCCATCAGTTTTTTCAACGAGTTTTTACTTGAACGTAAGGTAGATGAGTGGCAGCTCAGTAGTTCATCCATGCATTCAACTTTAAGACATTAATTGAATGAAAAATAGGCGTGGTTATAGCAACCATTGGGAGAACGTGGACACGTGGAAATGGACGCTCAAAATGTTCGAACGATAGGACCGGCACGAGTTGAAACACTGGTAAAGAAACCATGGCCATGTAGTTTCTTCTGTGCACTTTTTTGCAAGAAAAAAACAGTCCATTTCTAGAACGTATTGTGGTAGATGACCGTACAAGTTTGGCAATGATTTCCTCGTGCTAAGAGAACAGAACCATCCATTATAACCTAAACTTAGGAAATGGATTAAATCATATAATTCTTACTGGAAAATCTACCAAATGTTCGAAACCATCTATGATGTGACAATGATCAATCAGGTGGGCAAATATACGACCCAAGACGCTCGATGATACCGCACAAACTGCACTGTAGAAGTTGAAAGAATGCAGACACGAAACAATGCCGTATCTGGAATATTCATTGCAATTCCTCTAAAACGATCGCCAACTTCTTTACGCATCTCGACAAGCCTTTATAGGAAATTCTACGGCAACCGACCCGTCTACGAAAATCCTTGTAGAAAATTCGAGGGCTTCACAATCTCATAACTTTCCGGTAATAATAAAGAATAAAACCTTCGGCATTGATCAATCCCTGAGGGATGTGCCATTCATTCTTCATTAAGAATCGCTTGAAGGTGATTGAATGCATATCTAGCTTTACAATAACTCGCGGTATCCTACCGATGTATCGAACAAGTAATGCTGTCCTCCCAGACAAGTCTAGCACCAATTTGCCATCCTAAGAGGGATGGAAGAATTGGTGGCCCATAGGCGCGGGTATCGGCTCAACGTATGTGTCGCAGTGACGCCCCCAACCACTGCGCCACACGCGCCCTATAACTTCCCATTACTGGGGTAAATGGGCCTGTTTCATTTGTAAAAATGTGCAGATGATAATAATTACAAGTTTATAATAAAAAGTTCACTACGACGTAGTGAACGCATACCACCTCACTGTCCAAAATATAAGGATCAAAGAAAAAAAGTCACGCATAACACAAAAGAACGACACACCATTGCACTTCATTTACCAAGTAATATTATGCAACCAGTGTTATAATATCCTATTTTGCAAATTATGTGTAACAACACCATAAATAAACAGATAAGGGAAAACACTGTAAACAACCGTATCTTCTAAGCACTATGATAAAGCCGCCTCAATGATACATGTATTCGAAAGTCAATAATATGGTACCCAACAGTATTACTATGCAGCTCAGAAAACAAAATATGAGATTTATAATAATGGATGATTGCTGATAAGACCGTCAGGGTAAAAAACTGGCCGAGAGAAAGAAAAAGCAATGGTCTCGATAGTGCATGAGATAACACGTGAGCCTCCGGAAAGGGTAACCGCGGATTCGAAGCTCAACTGAGCTTCCCAGTTTTGCTTGTATCTCAGCATCACTGAGATGTGCATTGTTTGTATTACCAGAGAGAATGCAGATTGTATTAATGAACTACAAAGATGAGATCAACATAATCTTTTAAACTATTAAAATAAACAAAAAAAACAGTAGAGCATGAATTCAACACCGTAAAATCTGGCTATACACAAGTAATGTGAAAAAATCCATGTTAGATCAGACAAATAGAGCAAATGATATAACAATCACACGTGGAAAATCTTTCTTTTCTCTGCTACTAAAGAACTGCTCGAAATAGATGACCCATAATCTCGAGGAAAAAGTTTCTGAAGCGCAAGCACAGTTTTAGCCACATTAGCAATATTCCTTTTGCTGAGAATATCTGCCGAAGAGCATATAGATACCTTAATATAAACGACTGAATAAGATAGAATGAGGAAACAATCGGCAACTAACAAAGCGAGGCAATAATAAATATGACTCGCAGTATTAGAAAAAGCAAAAGCTTGCATTATCCTCAAGTCCACTTTTACTTTGCATTCCACTCCCCTCTTTGATTTTTGCATTTAAACTCTATCGTATTTCGTATAATCGTATTCGTAGATCATAATCGTTTTTTTACGTAGGTATACTGTATTATAAAATAGTTTAGTAGCCAACTACTAAGCAGACAGCAATCCCACAACAATTTTTTCGCATGACCACAATGAAATTTAAAAAACTGTACCCTAAAAAATATATTGTAATGTGAAATCATATCACCTCAGGAACACCTAGCTTTCGACAAGCCGCTATGAAACTATCAACGTTGCGCTTTGCCTTTGGAGGCGACAGGACCTGAAATTTCACGCATGATTACCATAAACAAAAATAAACTCAACATAAACAGATTTGATTACGAACTGTTCCTGACGAAGTGAACATAGACGTTATAGTTCGCGGACGAAAAGAATTCATCAAACCACACAAATGCACTCCATCGGCCAATTCTCCAGCAAACGTGTCTACATCGTCCGATAACCTAAAATACATGCATAGCCAAATTTAGATGCAAAGCTATAATTACCAACTGCTTCACCATCTACTAAATCATTAAACAGCACTTTTGGAAGCTGTGATAAGATCCTCCTTCCCATCAATAATTGCCAAATACTTACTTCACTTCCAATCTATCTGAGAATATTTTACGAATCAGATCTACAACGGCGTTGTCAGGTTCACGGTTTTTCGATGTCGACATAGTTCGACTTGAATTCACATTCTGTGATGACGAAAATAAGATTTTACACTGTTTCTAGCAAATATAATACAAATAATTGTGATGTGCTTAACAAGCAGTGATTCCATACGCACTTACCCTCGATTTGTCATTTTTTATAACGGTAGGTTTTACACCCTTTTGATTCTGATTGTCGAAAACCCGTGTAGCCGTCTTCGGAACACAAGCAGTCATATTTGAAGGGCGAGCTATTTGAGATGGAAGGCGAGATCCTAAACTAAGCGCAGTGCGATAATTATTTCCAGAAACAAAACGCAAAAAATGAAAGAAATCGTCAAATAGATGCCATAAAATTACAAAAGGAGTACGGCAAACAAGGATACAAATAATTTTCTCTCCGAAGTGCGAAAATATTCATTTAACCTACGTTTCAACGAGGAACTGCAGACCGTTGAGCACGAGCTAAGCATTTTCGGTGGAGAGGAGTTATGAGCAAGTGACTTTGTATTCCGAGAAGAAGGGTTTCGACAAAATTTCCGCGCTGAACCGGTTGTTGACGGTGGGCAAATTTTGCTTCTCACAACCTTAAAAGCTTAATCTTCGAATCCAAACGTCAGATTACTTCAGTGAGTCCAAAATTAAAAAAAACAAACAAGCACAATTTCAGAATGAAAGTTGTCAAATTAAAAATTCTCGCCTTCGTCGTGATGTTTTGTGTAGGTGGTATGGGGGATTTCGTCCGCACAGAAACTAGCGGAGCGACTTTAGAAATCGGTTTGCTTGCTACTGGTACACTCCCAGCTGAATATGCCAAGTTGAGCGGAAAATATTTAAGATAAAACATCAAATCTTAAATCTGCTATCTAGTGGCTATCAGCTGATATTTAATACTTAAGCCGAGTTGTAACAAACATGGCGAAACCTCCTAAGCCTGGAATATGATCCTCGCTCGGGCTTGAATAGTTGATCAATTGAAAAGCGAACCACCTCAGACATTTATTTGTTAACTTCAAGACTTTCGCAATGATGACATTTGCACTCTGAGTATGCTACATACTAATTATTCAGAAAACTCAAACAATGCAGAATATCTGTTAATCCAACTAAGCGATCAAATCCTAAATTGTTCTAGTTTACAGCCACAACGATGCTTAGATATTCGCAAAACCTAGACCCAGGGCCTAATCGAATCACGACTACCCTTTCCAGAGGCTTGCGTGTTACACACTGCACCACTGAGGCCCTTGCTTTGTGTTTCTCTTTTCTACTTTACGCTGCTATCAGCAATCATCATTAGGTTCAATCTGGCCCTGGGTCCAAGTTTTGCAAATATCTCAGCATCGTTGCGGTTGTATTTCACACCGTACCTTGCCGCGAAAAATTACAGTGCGCAGCAAATAAAAGGTTGACATTGCTCTAGTTTAATCCATGCTGTTGTGCCAATTTTTCCGCTTTTAGAATACCAATGGAGACGAAAATAAACCTAACCAGTAGTAGTTCAAAATATTACTGGGTCAATTACATAATTTAAGCTTGCCTCATAGACCATTTTGTAAATGTATGAAGTTAGAACGGGAAGGTAAAACGATAGCATCGGTTTGTAGGTTTCATATATTTCAAGGGGCAGAGATTAGATGAAGTAATGCAAAATAAGGGTATAGCGCAGAAGTCAAAATCACCATTCCCGCAGAGTTTAAAAAGCCAACAGAAGTAGACAATACCTACTACAGAACGATCGTCTGCAACACTGTACGCATCATCAACCACAGAGGAGTTATTATTGCTCAGATCGAGCGAAGTCAGCCTCTCTGAAACCGCGAACGACTCAAAATAAAACATTATACAATCCTCGAATAAAAAAGTGGAAGTTATAAAGATGCATGCTGAAAATACCAGTCGTCTTATGTTGATCCCCATTTCCATTTTGAACTGTACCAAGAAACATGGTGGAATCTGCCAATGGTGAAACTTCATTAATAATGATCTCCGTATTAGCGACCTTAAGAAAAACGAATGGCTAGAGTAAGAAAAGAAAATAAAACATTTGAACTTTAGCAACTTTTACAGAAACGAATTACCTTCTCACCACCGTCAGCAGCTCTCACAGCTATACCGCTATTCAATGCAGACTTGTAAATGTCACTGCAAGCGTTTCCACAAGAATCTTGCTGAGTTGGCGCATGCACTGCATGATGGAATACATTGAGATAAATCGTAATTTGAGATAAAACAGTCGTGATAACAAAGTAATGCATAGAATCGACCTCTATTCGGTTTTTCACAGCTCTGTCTTAAATCGTCGAGAACACGGGGAAATGGGGTGCACTCGCTGATTTCATCAAGACCAGAACTAGGTGCCAACTGTGAAGAATATTCGATAAGGAAAGATAAAGAAATACATATGTATACACAACATATATGACATATGTCCTGCCACACAGAATCAAAAACACCAATAACGCTAAAACGCAGATGAAGAATATTCAAAAAGATTATAAAAGAAATAAACCTCATGCGATAATCTGTGATCGTCAGCAGTGCTCGCATATCCTGAATCACTTCCACCAACAGTATTAACTTGAGTAGCCCGTTGTCGTTTCTCATCAGCCGTCGAACATTGCCGGATTTCATACATTCCGCCAACGCCAACACTTAACTCTCAATCTTTAGTAGCTATGCTACAATTATTGTAAATGTTATCACTTAAAGCAATAGACTAAAGAATAAACATCATCAAGAAAACAATCGCACCCCCGTAGACAGTATGCTGATTTAAATGCGGACATATTGTGAGCAGACTGAAGAGTTGCAGAAGAACTTCTGTGCTCGCCTTCACTGGATTCGATATCCATCCATTTGAAAAGATATTCACGTCCCTAATTTGAGGTCAAGAAATATTACATACTTCTTTTACCACAGAAACTAACTTGTTTGTTTTTCTTCAATACTAAATAAAGCTGAGAACAACTATTCCTACATGCTTAGCGCTATGGAGTAACAGTTTCGAATCAAATTGTTAAGTCGCAAACGTGTACAAAGGATGCAATAACGTTAAATATGCTGTAAAAATTTTCAAGGGTTTCATTACATATTAACGGAAGAATCTAATTACTTAAGAAGCAACGTCTATACCTACTACTAAGGAAACTCATAACAGCGACTTTTATTAACATATTTCACTGTCACATAATTGAAAGACACCTACCTTTTCAATCAGACAAGCCGGTGGAGACAACAGTGGATTATTTCCCACTTTAAACTCAACAAGAGACTTCATTTTTCGTATGTGCACAGGTAATTGTACAAAACGATTTGATGACAAGTCCAAAGTATGAAGGGAAAGGCGGCATAGCTCTGTAGAAAACGAAAACTAGAAACTGTGGTGGTGGAGAAGAAACAATACTGACACTTATATCGTCACTTTCTATTCATTGCCTTCACCTTTTTAACGGCAGGGTATTATGTGAGATGTAACCATAATGATGGTGAGATATTTGCAAAACTCCGGACCGCAGGTGTCTGCGGTGCAGATCGAACATGCTACTACCCTTTCCGGGGACTAACGCTTTCACTACCACACCATGCAGGTCCTTCGTTTGGCCTTTCTCTCAGCCGTATTTTTAATATTACATTTTTATCTACTCTGACATTTATTCTCATCGCCACAGAAAGCGAAATGAGCCAAAAAAATAAGAAATGCACTGCTACTAAACGCATATGTGCAAACTTACCTGACGGAAACTGTTCAAGTAAATTCTTGCGTAAATTCAAAACTCGTAACATTTTCAAAAGAGCAATGTCAGCTGGAACAGATTTTAAAAAATTGCAGCTGACGTCCTAGAAAAGAACTCATTACTTACTGGAAATCTAAAGTGAGTTTCCAAAACGTCACAAATCGATATGCAGCGAAACTAGTATAAGAAGGAACCAACCAGTTCTGCTAGAGTGGTGGAGAGTTGACGGATTTCGCGAGGAATGGATTCCAAACGATTACCCGTCAAGAGAATAATTTCCAGTGGTAGTTCAAATAAGCCTAAGGGCAAATGGACAATTTTGTTGTTGCTGAAAAGATTAGTTGAATGAACAGAAGTACTTGCATATTCTGCAAAACGATTTCTACAGAAAATATTGAACAGTTATCCTTTCTTATTCTCATCTCTCACAATTCGAACATCAACATCAGATGCCGTAATGTTCAAACATACCACTATAAAGAAACGGCTTAGTGAAGACCAACAACCGCTCTTAACACAGCTCAATCACAACAACAGATTACTTTGGATGAATAATATACTTTTCTCAACGGATCATACTCACACAAGGGATCTCGAGCTTACCCGACGCGACGCTACATACCGAGCTCCAGGATGAACAGTGTCAGGTTAAAAACACATCAAACCCTACTGGTTTCGCTGAGAACCCGAACCCTTCAATAATGTTACTAGAAACTGAATGGTGGATGGGTGGGGAAACATCAACATACGTGTGCAGATATACCTCTAGCGATCCAAAGGACTGTTTCGCGATAAGCAGTAAGGAATGAAGCTCATCACAAGAAAGGTGTAACATTATCCGCTGCGTACCTCAAATCAGCAGAGACTACGTTGACATCTCTCTAGCGCAAAAATGAAGAGACTCTATTGATTTCGTGCCTGTTAGAATCACTGGATGATTTATAGGGTAATAGTGATATACATAAACATACACATACAAGATAAAGAGTGTATTCACATATTGTAATATTTCTCATAAATTTCCATCAGCATGTTCCTTAATGCATCGGAATCACATTCATGTTGTTGTTTTTCCTCCCAGATCGACAGCTTTGTTTAAAGATTGGAGAATCATTGTTCAACTGTAAACCTGGTGGAGGATCACTACTTGGGAGTAGATTGAAGAATTTATTTTCATGCAAAATTACGCTAATCCACATTTTACTCCTGTTGCTCTTGAATGGTTGAATGCCCACTTCTCTGGAAAATAGATGGGTCGCCCGCATGAATGATCAGCCAAAGGCCGTGACACTCCTGCAACTTTTTGCTTAGGGATAAGTTAAAGAAGCAAGCCTACTCCACCAAACAACGACTTTGGAAGAATTTGAGGGCGGAATACGAGAAGTTATACGTTCTAACCAACAAGAGTTCCTAATGAAATCATTTAATGCGGTTCCCGGGTGGCTAGAAAAGGTGTTGGTAAATGCTGGTGTCCCATGAATTTGAAAGGGAACTCTCGGTAATAAGCTTTTGCCTCACATGGACTTCATGTGAAAGAAAATATGGCTAAAAAAAAATTGTAGGAATATTACAATATGGAATTACTTTTCAATCACCCTGTGAATGTATACAGGACGCGTGTAATACACTGGTTAGACATCCCTTGTAAAACAGACGAAGTCTGTCATAATGGCTTGATGCCGCGCACTGGGCTAAGCCCACTATCCCTCTGAGGTCTGGAAATTGGTGGCACATTTATGCGAAAAAGACACCCACCGATATCAAAAACCTGGGTAGAATCTGCGGTAAGGACATGGGAACACTCTACCAGACCAATCACAGAAGTCTAGGAATCAGTATGACTAGTATTCAATGACATTAAAGAAGAAGCAAGATCCCAAATTAACGGTCTAATTCCTCAAACCGAGTAAAATCTCCGTGGATAACGGATGAAAAACAACGGGTCTGATTAGTAAATGCTCAGATCGGCACTATAAATGAGTTACAAACATTAAATAGAAACGATGAATGAACATATATGCATGCATATATATGTGTATCTAGATGTATATATATATATATATATATATATATACACAAGATATAAAAGTGAAGAACAAAGCTTTAGGTGTTGATCAATCCCTTAGGGATGCGCCATGCATTCGACTTCATTAAGCATCGTCTGGAGATGATTGAATGCATATTTGACCTTTACAACGGCTCACGGTGGCCCACCGCTACATCAAGCCAGTACTCTATCCTCCCAGATACGTCTGGCATGAATTTGCAGACGCCGAAGGGATGGAAGGCTTGGTGGGCTTTGAGCGCGGAAATCGATCCCATGCGCATTACAAGGCGCCTCACCCGTCTCACGTACATATACACAAGCTTATGTATATATATAAATAGAGAGAGAGAGAGAGAGAGAGAGGATAAAATAAAACAAAGCTCTCGGCGTTGATCAATCCCTGAAGGATGCGAAATGCATTCGACATGATTAAGCAACGTTGCAGGTGATTGAATGCATATCTGGCCTTTACAATGACTCGTGGTGGCCTACCGATGTATCGAGCCAGTCTGCTATCCTCTCAGACAAGTCTGGTACCAATTTGCCAATCACGGAGGGATGAAAGGCTTGTTGGGCCATAGGCGCGGGGATCGATTCCACGTGTGTATCGCAGTGGCGCCTCCAACCTCCAACCACTGCGCCACACGCGCCCATATATATACATATATATGTATACATATATATATACATGCATATGCGTATGCATATGTATGTGTGTATATGTATATATGTATTTATATATGTATAAATAATGCAGGTTTATATGACTGACTTGGCAAAAATATATACATATATACATTCAAACGACATAAATTTGAAAAGAAAAAAAAACAGCTTTTCTGATTTTCTAACACTTTGAAAGAAAAATGGTAATAAGAAAACAATGCTAAGTCAGTCATATAAACCTGCATTATTTCAAATCCAACTATAAAACGCACTTGACGCCTCGGTCGAGAGAAACACATAGAAGATGCCTTACATGAAAAACATCTACCTTAAATCCAATACTGTTAACGAATGGAGAAAGACTATATTCGACGGTATACTTCTTAACGCATTTCCACGAAGACAAACCGATTCAAGCGAACGAGATTCACAGATACATGTTGGAATTTCAACCAACCTGTTATCACTGAGATCTAAAAAAACAGCAAACAACGAAAAGATTAGGTTGTACAAATTGATAAATTATTCCTTACAACAGTTAACAACTACATAACCGAGTTGAAAGAGAAATGTTTACTTACCAGTCATCAGAACGGCCGCATAAAAAGCGACTAAAGGCTCTTAATGATTATCCCGTGCTAAGGAAAAGAAACCAAATAAGCAATTCCCACTCAAATATGGACTATAACAATGTACGATGTTCAATGTTATGCGCAGTGCTACTGATTCAACCACAGATCGAACCAACCAAATTCACAACGCCACTATAGTCGGCAAACTGGAACGGCGGTATTTGTGTGGAGGAAGTTCCCTCCGATTTCCAAAGGCTGCTGACCGTCTGTGGTGAAAACGTGGGACAGTCTTAATAGATCCCAAGCAGAACCAACTCGATCAGCAATCAACAATATTCGTGATGAAGACTAAGTCTTCATTGTAATCACTTCATTTACTGCCTATTCTTTTCCCACGACAGGGTCTGATGTGGAATTCAATCACAGTGATACTGAGATATCTGCATAACTTCGGACCGCAGGCGTAAAAAATACTAAATCCTCAGTTAGCAGCCGAATTTTACGCGCAAATGTGAAGACTTCATGAATAAGGGATGCGAGGGAACGAACCGAATGCGAGAAATGCTAAAATGCTTACAAAATGTGACGTTGGGTTCTACTCACTTGGCTTTTTGGATGGCCCTTCTTCACTGGTTGTGCGGGCGCCAGCATAATCTCCATTGTTTCGGAGTCGTACTGGCTTAGTTATTGCAGTTTCCTGGGGTCAAGAGGTTAGCCAGCCCAAAGTCTGCTCCAGGTTGCCACCACCACAGGCAGTCGCCATCCTTGTGGATCAAAGAGAGATTTGCCACAATGGAACTAGTTTGGTATCACGACGGTGGTAGATCCTGGTATGGGTTTACTCTTAGGTGGGCCTCATGCTAGAAACGCAGAACTGCTCAGCTTGGAAGGCCTTGTTGAGGAGCTGAATACCCCCGTTGTGTATCGTAGCCCAGCACACAGAAACACCTCCCAGCCATGATGAGACGATAAACCGTTGGGAGGGATGTTGGGTTACACAAATAAATAAATAACAAATGATACGACGGAACAAAGACAAAATAATCAAAGAGATAGGGTGGAACTTACCAACGGAAACAAGGTCAGACATGTCGTATTTTGACGCCATACTGTTCGGAAATTCTTTAAGTTTCCTACCAGTAAGATTTAGTACGCCACTTAGCTCCGATTCTTCCAGCATTTTCTCCGATGAACGCGAGAGAAGCTAAACCAAACCATTTAAACACTTCGATAAAAAGCTAGTAGAAAAGAAAAAACTTTAAGCACTTGATCAGGCTGCCCGAACTTACCACTTGTTGATGCTGTAAACAAGTAGGAAGCGGCAAAACCTTGGTGTGGTTTGTAGTGCACAAGTTTGTGGTGACCACGGTTTGTATTGGTATATTGCGTCGCCTCCGTGACCACGTACCCGACATAAACTGAGAGAGGAACACAGTTATGATAAAGCCATTGATGGAACACGAACGCATTTGAAACGATAGAGAAATGCATTGATGAGAAACTACATGGTAAGGCGATTACTGGACATACGAATCGATAAAACGGCAACGGAAGAACTGAATCATGTGTCATCAAATCCGCTCAGTTCTTGGGAACTCTACGCTTACGATTAGTTCAAATACGATTCTGAAACAAAGTTTAACAAAAGTGGTGAAAAACACTGAAGAGGAAGCCCGCCAGATGCCAGGTCTGGAGAAAAGGTATTTTTGGAGAGCTCGTACGCTGCCCACCGCAGTAGTGGACAAACAAGTATGCGACGATGGGTCAGCGCATAGCTGGTGGTCGGCCGGCGGCGGTCGTACAGCAGCGATGAGCCGGCGCCCGAACCGTCGCGACAGCAGCACAGCTGTTCGCATCGATCGCGCATTGCCTCCACTCCAAATGACGGCGAGGCGCGGAGGAAGGCAGTCCTCCTCGGACGGACAACTGATTGGATCGTCTCCTGTCTATCGGCGGACTCCCCAAGGCACCGCCACCGGAGCTGGCTCTCTACTGTCAGCTCCACTGAACAATCCCTCCTACGGACTACCGTTGTTGAGCTGACGCGGTTGTTATTAGTTGCTATTGCTGTGACTCGATGGCTGAAGATTCAGCGACTTCGCGGTATTCGGAGCAGCTTTGAAAGGTATAGGTATACTACCGGTAGGTATAGGAAGTCGATCCTCCGAATTACGGAGCGATGTATCAACAAGAGAATTGCGGCTCGAAAAACATATCGTACAAGCCGACAGCGATCCACCCTCCCGTAGGAATGTGTGCACTACTGACTGCTAGGCGTATCGTTTAGCGTTGCAATCACCGTAAGCATCAGGGTATGGCTCACATGCTGGACATTGTCCACAGAAACACATTACGTTGTAAGAAGAAAACTAGTAAGAACAGTGTGGACAGTGGTGCAATATGGTGATCGGTACTACAATGGACTGATTTTTCCGGTGTTTACTAATGGAATGAAATCACCTCCATTATGAAAATCGGCCCAATCACATTATTTCCTAATTTAGTGTTTCTCTCAAAAAAGCAAGAGTTTGCTTAGTTTCTTGTTGACTCGTGCTAAAGAAAGACCACGTGTAGTTTATAACTTTTGGGGTTTTTCTCCAAAAAAAGCTTCGTTTACGGCAACGACAGCCAATCCTTTTTGTAGTGGAAGGCATTGTCACGGCTTGTTTTTTCAGAGAGATCTGCTCGTTTTATGATTTAGAAAAGACTACACCTCCTTTACTCAAATACTCGAAAGTAGCAAATCGTTTACCAATAAATTATAGTGTACAAAGTAGTGTTTCTTCGCTTTTTTTTAAAAAACAATTTCCAGATAAAGGAATAAAGAATAAAGCTCTCGGCGTTGATCAATCCCTGAGGGATGCGCCTTCCATTCGGCTTCATTAAGCATCACTAGAGGTGATTGAATGCTTATCCGGCCTTTACAACGACTCGCGGTGACCTGCCGATTTATCGAGCCGGTGCTTCCATTCTTCCAGGTAATTCTGACAACAGTTTGCCAACCCGGAGAGATGGAGGACTTGGTGAGCCTGGAGCGCAGGATCTGCAGAGCTGCCCTAACCACTGCACTGCACAAGCGCCCCACAATTTCCAAAACAACTACAAAAACTCTAAGTTAGAGATTGAACGAAACACAGCGAAGAGATGCTTAGTAGAATACGTGAAAAGCGTCGTGATTCAGTTACATTATTTTGTCAAACTGGTAACATTTCAATTTTTGCGTAGAAGTAGCCATCAACAGCTTTGTCCTTATGCCCTTGATAGTTTCATTATGGCCAGAGTGAGTTTGGTACACTTTTTGTGTTGGAGTTTAGTTTTATGAGTAGTTATAAATGCGCAGATAACAACGAAACCGGATGCCTTAAAAAACATTTCAACGCAATAAGTACTTCACATGATATGATAGGCATTCAGACATTTAAGCATAACACGGTGGACCCCATCTTATGAATATCTTGACATTTCACCACAAAAATTTCGAGTAAAGTCTGGAGCGGTCAACCGCTGTCATATTTGGAAAATGTGCAAATGAAAAATACAAGGGGCTTGAACAACTAATATGTACACGTTCTGATACACTTTTGTAAGAGTTTATCGATGCTAAGGAGGAAAGGCAACTACCATGGATGGCTATCTATGTGATTCCTCAGAAAGCCTTTCCTCTGTCGAGCTCTCCATTCACTAGGCTTTATCGAATGTAAAACTTAGCTTCTGACCTATATAATGACTCGCGTTGGCTTACCGATGTATCAACTCAGTGCTGCTATCCTCTCAGGCAAGTCTGGTACCAATTTGTCGATCTTAGTGGGATGGAGGGCTTGGTGAGCTCAAGATGTGGGATAGAACCAAAGACTACGGATGTATTGCAGGATAGTCCTTACCACTGCTCTAAACGTCCCTCTTTCCATGGACTTTTATAAATATCTCAGCATCGTCATGGTCATAAAATGTAGCTTTCGTATCATGAAATATCAAGCATTTTTTCTGCCCAGTACAATTTTTCACGTATGAATATCCTTTATAGTACTATAGGCCAGAGCTTATAACTTGCTACTTTATTAGTTTATTCAGTTTCTTCAGTCTCGAATGTGTTCTACCAGCTTTCTCAGCTTGAATCATTCACGTACTTTTGTTTTACTAGTGAAAAAAGCGATGTTGCACTGCTTTGTCTGCTTGAATTTCGTGAACAAATGAACTATGCTTTATTAGCTCGACAACTCTGAAAACACTGAAAAAAAGCGGTACAATACTTTAATATTGACACTGATGAAGGACCCGCTTCTTGAAGTGGACTGGGAAAATGTTCGACATTTAGCGGAAAACCTTGGAGTACGAGATGAAAAGACTTCCTATCGCGATAAATTCTCCAGGAAAGTGAGAAAACTCGATAAGTGCATACCGCATGAACTCAGTGACAGGCAGAAACAGCAGTAAAGCTTATCGCATGGTCGAAGTAACAAACTCTTTCTTCAATCGACTTATTACTTATAGTGAAAAATCGATGCTGCATTACGATAGAAGACGGTCATCTCAGTAATTGGATGGTCATGAAAAGCCACATGCTTAAATTGAGTTCGCATCCTGTACAGGGGACGATTCCGATTGGATGTCGTTGGCATAGGTATCCAAAACCTTTTAAACGCGTGTGAAATTATGACAGTGGGACGGTATTGTGCTGAAATGCAAGCACTAAATGAAGACTAAGCCTTTGATTCGAAAAAATCTTCATCAGACTATTAAAACAGCCCATTCTGCTTGCCGAAAAAAACTATGCACTGATGCTTCATAGGTGAAGTCTAGAAGCTCAAATAACGTCAGCGGTGGGGTCTCTATGGCTACTAATAAAATTTGTGAAGAGATACAGACGAATTTCTTGAGTGAACAGAAAATTAGCGAAGTTGGATCCTTCATAGTTAGCGCCTGCGAACGTCCGTAAAATTGCACACATCTGTTGACAGGTTGTTCGAGACGCACGAAGTTTGTTGATGAATCCGCTCGCCTCTACCACCATAAGTTGGTTATGTTATTACGGCTGCGTTATTGATTAGGTGTCTGGTCAGTGGGTGGTCCAGTGCAGGACGCCCACGATGTGGTCATCCATTGATCGGGCAGCTGCTGCCAGGCTTGTGGGAGGGGTGCTAGATAAAAGAGCATCGTTTACCTACGAGTGTCCCATCCTCTGCACCCACTTTTTCGTGTTCCATCCGTTATGCAACCGCTGCTCAACATTTTCCATCATCCTGCTAGAGATCTTTCTGGAGTTGCGTATTCATCATTAATATATCCGTGCTCACGTAGATATACATGAAATCCTGAAAGTCGATTGTGTTACGTGGATCTTGACACTGGCCGTTTTGCTCCGGTTTTCTCAAACATTGTTGGGAAGTGATAACATGCTGTCTTTTCTACAATTTCCAACATTTGTGTTTCTTCTGCTATCCTACGTGAACAAATATGCCTTGCTTTCGCCTTTTTTAAAAGTTATTTATCCTGAGGTTGTCCTTTCAAAGTTATCTGCTAATTTCGTTGAATTCCGTTTTTCCACTCCATGATCAATAGTTTTCTTCGTTTTCCGCTCGTAACATATTCATCCGTCGTCAGTTAGCCGTTGTCCTGTTTTGTCAAAATTTGGTCTCCTATGAATGTGTATAGCTAGGCATTTTTCTGATTAGCTTTTCATGATATGAATGTGTATCTCCCTTGGTATTCTCGAAAATGAGAGGGGTGTGAAAAAATGAGGCAACAGTCTCCAAGTTAGGCCAAATCCTGAGGCTGAATGTAGTCAGATGTAGTTCGTGTCGTAGATCACTTGTCTTCCTTTATATCAGTTGTTTTTCATTCGTCTGAATTGAGTACGGTGAACTTAGTCTCAACCTAATGATCTGAATTTAATCTTGGTTTAATATGATTTCATCATTTGTTATATCTTTCTCTGCAAGCCTCTATAAATTTCATCCGAAAGCTAAGTTCCATTTACTTCGGAACGAAATCAAATACTGAGCAAATATTTACTCGGACCATCTTCAGCAGGCCTGTAGTATCCATTTCACGGAACCGCTAACGGTGTTCGCCATTCGAAGTGTTCTACAAGTAACTCAGAAGACGTAACAGGAACACAATGATGATGAAATGTTTGCATGAAATATCGTCTGTTAGCGAGATCGGTTAGCGAAGCTAGTTACCACTTTAGTAGCAAATTTGAGCTAAACTCGTGTTATTTATAGACATGTTCGCATCATCAGTCATAATTCACAATGATTTAATTGCTTTTATGTTCGAGGTATTCATCTCAGATGTCCCTTGAGTCATTAACACGACCCTTTGATAGTGAGCCTCTGGAAAAAGGATGTCTCTTACTTGCATTAGGCTTCACCAGAGCAAATCCACTAAGTGTAATGCATATGTAATACTTTGTACTTTTTCTTTCATGCCTTCTGGCAATTGTGACTTTCCATCGATTTAACGAATTTTGTAGGAGTTTCTAGTGAGTATTTAGCTACTCAGCACTGTTTTGAATGAAAATGTTGGTTCTCACCATTGTCAGTTCTCCTGGTGCTGGTCAGTGCCAAATTTTATTTATTTCGCTCCTTTTTTACCAAATGCTACAGCTATTTTCATTAACGGAGTCTTTTTAGTTATTTTCTTCATAAGGTTCCACATGAATAATGGTTAACGTTCTACCATATTTGGGAGTAATTCTTCGTATTTTTGTTGAGCAAACGCGAGGTGTTATTATTCTTTATTCACAAATGAGCTGACGTTTCGGCGGA